CGTCATGAGACGACAGTAAACACTTGACAGTCTCATTATACATTGCGCGTCCCTGCCTGCCCGTTGTATCGAACTCATAAGTTGCTACCTATTTTCAATTATAACTCAAAAACTAAGCTTCGGACAAAATTTTGTAAAAGGAAAAATCGTCTCAGAATTCGCTCAAGAATATGGCATTGCAAGGACATCAGATTATTTTGAATCACCCTGTATATATATATATACTAGATAAAAGTTCGAGGTTTAATGGAGGAGTTCTCGCAGTAATACAATCTATTTTGTGAGGCTCTATAGGTTTAAAGTAGTATTTCAACGTCAAATTATAGGAAATCAAGTTTTAAAAGAGGAGTTCTAGGTTCTAATTCCGTAAAAATAGGTTCATATAGGCTGTATGAGCATTAAAAGAGACGCTAAATTTTGACTCGGGATGGTAAGGTTATTATACGCGAAATATGGAGGCGAAATAACGAGAGTATTATGCCGAAACTAGGAATGTATTGTGTTACGTGAATACCAGCACGTTATCTTCTAAAGTTGTTAAAATTCGAAACCGCAATCTTCCGCCTCGTATAATTAATGGCTAGGCCGCATTAAAACTACGAAGAATAGAAGAAAGTACGTTATTTGATATTCGGATAACAAGCCTCAATTAACCCGTCAGTGCCAAGTATTTCAATGTGAGCTAGCGATAAGACGTTGGAAAAAGACCAAACTGCACGTGCGAGCTGCAATTTAACGCGCCGCTTTGTTCGTAATTTATAGGTGTTGATGACTTCTTAAAAGTGCTTTTATCGCTCAATTAAGCCGCGCGGTTATAGACACGATGCTCGAGTGCTCATAACTATATTCGTGTGTGTTAAGTAATTTGAATACTTGATAACCCACTGCATCGTTTCACGTTGGCGCAGGGCATTATCCTATTGTGCGCGGTATCTATTTGCATAAGGAAACCATAGTAAATGAAAATTTGTCTTATAAAGGCGAGTGAAGCCAGGCAACCGCAACCAAGAGCACGGGTAGAGTGCAGCTGCAAGGAAATGCATAATTATAATAATTGTTTTTTGTATGTGTGTGTGTGTGTGTGTGATACGCGCATACATATGCATGCAATGCGGCGATTGACTTATGAAAACTTGGCTCATTCCCGGCGCCGTCAACATCGTTATATCATTTTTTTTCTTTCATTCAAGGGCAGATTGTTAAACTTATCGCGAAAACCTGACGCTCTAGCCGCGCACTTGACGAAACAAAAAAAATCTTATTACGCGTTTTATTACGCATAAAGCGCGGCGCGGGCGAACGTAACGGCATGCGTTCGTTCTCTCATGCAGGAACGTGCAACCTTATTATAGCGTTATACTCCCCTAAGGACGTGACGACGTACGGATATTATTTCCTTTTCTCCGTGTCTTCGCTGGTATTGATCTCGGGAAAATCCCCGAGAATCGAGGGAATATATCGCGTCGCGAGAGGGGCAATGCGAGGTAATGCGGATATTACGCCCCTTTCTTTCCGCGACTTTCTACAATTTGATATTTCGCTCAGCCGGTCTCTACGTATGAACTTATGAAACGCTATAATCGTTGACTCGCAATAACAGCTGCGGCTTCATAGCGCGGTCTTATTCACGTTTTAGTAGCCGTAGCCGTCGTCGTCGTCGTCGTCGTCCTCATCGTCTTCGTCATCATTGCCGTAGTCGTCATTGCTGCCGTTTGAACAAAGTTTTACAGCCGGCTAGAGCCGTTTGTTTCGGCCGACATCGTTTTGCAATTACTATGACTTTTATGCGATTCGCCCGAGCAGAAGCTCACGATCGCGGATATTATGCCCTCGTGGGCGTACGTTGATTAAATGCTGGAGATTGGCCGCGTTCCGAGCTCTTCCGCGACGGGCGAAAATCAAACAGTCGTAACGCTCTTTAAGTCTGCGGCGCGGAATTGCGAAAAAAATCCAAAACGATAGTACGCGTAATATAATAGCTTGGCACGAGGCTACTTGAAGGCTGGCACTTCTGCCAACGGAAGGGGGCGGTGCGCAAAAGTGCGGGCGTCTTGGATGCTCTTGGCAATACAGACGAAATCCTGGCGTCGTGCGCGATAGATCGGTACGTGTCCAACACGATTACCCCGTGAATTTATATCACTGTCCGGAATCCACGGCGGACACAGCGCGCCGCGGCGAGGCGCGCGCGATCGATCGGAAACGACGAAGTCTAACCCACTGGATTACATTCTAGACGGTAAATTCTAACTTCTACGACAAAGTCGCGGGAAAACGGCACCGTAAGCGTACAGAGGAAGCCTCAAAAGGCGAATGAAACCTCTAATTTACGTATTAGTGCAACCTGGGGCTGCCCAATTCCCGTCGCGCAACGATCGCAGTATTAAAGCTGATATTGTATGGAGTTGCGTAAAATTCTCGCAATAACACGAGAATACTCGCGTTATATTCGAAACTGTTTTGCTATTTTAAGCTTTGGTTGCGATGATTTCGGAAATTATTCGAAACTCTTGTTGAAAACATTAAATGACCTGTTTATATCGAAAGTTTCGAAAGACTATGAATTTTAAATGTAAAAAGCGCGTATTGATTTCAGCCAATTTTCCGACCCCCGAATGTACGGCACTTGGAAAATACGACGGCTCGCACATTAATTTAGACATCGTTTCGAACAATTTTTAGATTACCGCTCGATGGGGCAATAATACTCGAAGCAAATTATTCGAAGACCGTATCTGTAATGTCCGGACGCAAAAAAGTGCCAAGTGCCGGCTCTCTCGAGCGTTTCCAGATCGCAAGAACTGTTAGACGCTAATTACTTTAATGAGTTTCGCGCGGCTTCTTTTTCCAGGAAACGCGTTCCTCGTGAACGTGGCGTTAGCGGACCTGCTGGTGACCGGCGTGGTAATACCGGCCTCGGTAATCGTAATCCTGGCGGGCCATGAAGAGTCCCTAATTACTTGCCGATTCGAGTATACCATCGAGATCCTTTGCTTCCTGGTGACCGTACTAACGTTGGGCGCAATCGCCGTGGAAAATTACGCACGTCTGTGTCTGCCTGCCGAAAGGTAAGTGGAAATAGAGAGAGACCCGCGTAAAAGGGGTGTTTCCGCAATTTAACGCGTCGACTGCCACGTGACATCATGGTCGTGTTTCATTCTCCCGTCTATTTTATCCCGCGGACGCTTTTGTAGCTTCATGATATTTGAGCGTGATGTATATCACGCGAAATTGCGAAATTCTCTGGAAAGACCAACTGCAGTTAGATGATTTTTCTGTCTTTCCTCCTATTTTTTGATTGTTTGTATTCTCGGTTTGCATTCAGCTAAAATATTCCTTATGGAAAATATTCTTTTCAAATTTCTAGGAGTAAAATATATACGTGCCTTTTGATGTCAGCGCGTGACTACTTCTACTCAAGACGGAAAGAATGAAAAATAAGGAAATTTAAACTCGAACCTTAAGTACTTTTAAGTTGTAAATTTTGTAGTACTTTTTTAAACATAGTAAACATCTTTTACTAAGTTAACTTAGTAAAAAATAATAATAATTAATAATAATTAATTTAATATTAAAATAATAATAATTAATAATAATTAATTTAATATTAATTAATATTAAATTAATTATTATTATTTAATTAAAAAATTAAAGTTTTGACAACGATTTGCACTCACTTTAAAATGTTTTTCCAGACAATTCTCAATAATAAAATTAAGAAAAAAAAACATTTACTTATATTGTTTACATAATTATATAGTTATGTAGTGTAATAACAAATTTGTGATTGAAATAATAATCCGATATAATTTATCATGAATTAATAATCGAATATCATCCATCATGTGATTACTTGAAAGATATCAATTTGCGTGCATCGCACTTTCCGATGTATGATCGGGATATTTTTTCTACTAAAGCAGTCAACGCGTTGAATACAATATTCGATTTAATGATATCATGATTTTATACCATTATGAGCAAAACACAGAATATTGCTTTCATAATGCGATGGTTACCCAATATTTTATATATTTATGGCTTTTCCGTACAATACGATTACAGTGCTGTGGTGCGAAAACGCAATTCTAAAGTAATGACACACATTGTGTCTGGCCCGGCACTATTTATATGCAAAACTCCAACTTTCTATGCAAATTCATTTGCTGCGACATTTCCATTTGCGCATAGACACAGTTCCGGATTAAAATGTTTCCTAGTTAGCTTTTATGGCGCAGCTTGAATATATAATAACGTAATTCGTCATCTAATCAACTAAACATCGTATTAATTATTATTTGTGCAAATATTTGGAATATTACATTTTGTGTGATTCGATAGACGCGAGGAACGCGTTTTCCGTACGCGAAAAACTCGACTGACACAAGCATGCCGTACATTATCGATTGCATTCGACAAATTTGATGTCGCAAAAAACGATGCGTCTCTGGATCGGGAAGCGAAAGATTGATCAGCTTATTGCGAAAATAATAGAAAATGGTGCTGACCTTTCGTCTGACCAACGAAATGGCGCGAATCCAACTCCGGACATGTGAACGGTGACCCGGTGCCCGATCAATATTACAACCCTGTAACTGCCACCGCTCGGGGAGACGAGTCCGCTATTACTGTTATCGCGTCGTCTCATCCGGAATATTTCTTTTTTTATTCTCCGCCGAGACGTCGCGGACCCGGTTGCGCCCGTGCGTCGACGGGCGACGGACGAAAGAGACGGCGAAACGCGTTGTCAGCGACGGAAACAGGAGGGGTAGAAAGGGTCGCCCATCCGCCATCGAATTAAGTGCCGGCTTCGGCGATCGAAAAGATATAGCACACGTGACCGGTGTGGCGCGATCAATAGTCGCTACATTCCTGCGATTGTCGGCGCTTTTTCACCGCCGCTCGCGACTCCTTTTTTTCCCCGGCGCGTCGGGGAAGAGGACCCTTCAAAGCGATGCCTTTAACCCGTGCGCTTTGTTTACGAGGTGGCGCTTGGTTACTAATTGAGCGGTCCGTTTCCGGCACGACGCGACACACGAGCGCGTTCGTTCTTGCCTCACGGCTGCTTTCCGTCACTCGCTCCGAGGGACGGCGGACGGCCGAACTGATATACGCGGTGTAATCGTTAACAAAGTTTGTTATTTGTCCCGTAGGGTGGCATGAAAAATGGATCGAACCCCGGGGTGTCTCGATTTGTCGGGCCGCCGCAAAAACTAACAAACTCTCGTTCGCGCAAAGGCCAGGTAAAAAGGGTTCCTCTTTGGTTTGGTAAAAAGCGGACGGGGTTTTTAACGCGAATTTTATCGGCTGGCTGCGGCTTTCGATAACTAAATAAAGAACTTCACAGTATGACGCTGGCCGGTTAATCAAACTGAGTTGTTTGATACATAATTTACAATGGAAATATTATTAATTCCATTCCGCTTTTCACGGTCGTGCATCCGAATGTATTTATTGACATGGAGAATCCACTAAAAATTTGATTTTCCATTACTTTTTAAGTTACCGTTTGTGTTTCCGATTTGCAACTCAAAGCGCTCGAGACATTCTCGATAAAATTTAAATTACATGAGGGAACACACATATACACAAGTCTGTGGGGCGAAAAGAGAGACGAGAGAAAAGGCGGGAACAATCAATTTTATTCCGCACGCTATCAGACCCAATATGTGAAGATAGAGTTAAATCCATTTATGGTTAGCGCGCAAACAAGCTTCGAACTTCATCAAACTGCTGCGACTACCGACTAACAATTTGCCTTAATAAACACTTGCATTATCCTCTGCAGCAGGAGATTGTCTCCATTTCCATGTAAATAATTCACTTCGATCAAAGGCGAGGCTATCTGGTTCTTGCAGGCGGGTCTTCATTTGGCGCGGTCGTCGTAACATATATACCAAAACCTGTGCTTGTAAAGCTCTTCGGTCCCCGGTGGCCTTACCGCCGTCCGCGACAATAGCGGCCGAAAATTACGCCCGCTTGTGTTAACTGTTTGCCAGCCGAAAGATAAAGCGAATGTACCGGCAAGCGATTCCAGCAATCGATACCCCACGTTCCTGCAATTTCCCACGCATGCACATTCTTGTTCCATCCCTCCGGGGCGTTTTTGTTCCTAACGCGGTTCGCCGCGATGTGATTTCTGCTAGCGACAATAAAGGAATTTATATAACAATTCTCGTGGAAATATATGTAATTGCTTCCTTCCGCCGCGGGGATCGTTTTTGTCGTAATAATCCGCTGCGAATTTTTCGATAATAACCACCCGAATATATAGTATAGATATTTTTGAGAAAATAGGCGACTGTGCTCTCTCCTATCTGACTTTGATATCTTCACCGGGCAAGTGTTTCTAAGGCAACACCCTAAATACGGTAATATAGGCGAGCCGCCGGGTCATCGTTCGAGGTTGAAGTTCCGGTGGGGAAAATAAAGGGAGGAGAATTACGATCGCGCCTTGTTTACTCACAAAAAGGTAAAACTTAAATAGAGAAATTAATAATTCAGGCTGTTCTCAAAATCTATCTGCTGTCGGTGCGCGACTTGATTTATGTAACTATTACACAACGCCAGACCTTGATGCTCTTTCGGGCGGGCGGCCATAAATATTTCAGGCTAATGCCTACTATTGAAGATGGATAACGTTATTAAAATTGAATAATGTCATAACACATGCGTGGATATATTGCATCGGTTGTGGCCTTCGCACGAAAATACCTCGCGACGGTTAACGTCGTTGGGCGGATATGGGTAATGTAAACACAGTGAATGGGGTAGAAATCAAATTACTGTTATCAGTTTAAGCCATCGCGTATAATGGCGTATGGCGACCACTGCTTGGAAGTTCGAGTTTGATGTTGAAGTGCTTCCCCGGTTCTCTATCAGCGTCACGATCGAGTTCGTAATTTCGCATTCCGGGCGACGTTCTCTTTAGCTTGAATTGCCGGAATCCGTAACCGATAGCAGACGATCCCGGGGGAGACGACGGCGACGACGACGACAACGACGACAATGACGACGACGACGACGACGACGACGACTGCCGCTGCTGCTTTTCATATGCACGCGGAAAGTTTCGCGACAATACGGCGTTACGGGAAGTATTTTAACCGGTCGCGTCAGAAGAATCACGACGAACACGTGGAGTCCGGGGAAGTTTCCTCGCATTGTAAACGAGAAATCGTCCTCCAGCACCGCTAACTCCGTAACTACCGACTCGTTTTTCAAGTCCCTCGTTAATCCACGGGACCAGTACGACCAACTCCGTAATTGCAGTCGCAGTGTATCACCGGGGGAAATATTTTCTTTAATTGAATGCGCCGTATAAGAAAGCCAGGACTTAAACAAGCTCGTGATGCAATTAAGGGAAGAATATCCGTCCGCGAGACAATGTATTATCTTCCGTTATTTCCACGAGAATTATTCCGAGATGCATCGAGTTATTAACGGTCAGTAGAGCCGGTGACGATATTGACGAGTTTATCCTCGCATTTCTTTTGGTCAATTGTTTTCACGTTTTTTTGTTGTTGGTTAACGCTATACATCTTACGTTGCTTATTAATGTTTACGAGCATTGTGTCTCGAAGTTATAAAAATTGTGATGGTGTCCGAGTCCGAGATAAAGTGTCAATAGCTGTTATTAGAATATTTTTTCGTTTAGTTATTATCAGGTAAGGCTCAAGTACATTGTTTATCGATGTGTTTCAATGTCCAAGGTACGCCAACCTGAAAGCGAGTCATGTAACGGCCACAATCATCGCTCTCTGGGCGATCGCCGGGATCGTCACGATCGTGGTGATCGTTCAGTCGACCTCGGACGTGGGTCCCGACTTTTGTCGCCGTAGGTTCAGCGGCATCACGTGGGAGCAGGCGGTGGGTGCGGGCGTGCTGGTCGGGCTGCCCGCTCTGGTGACCATCTTCTTCTACGTGAAGCTGGTGGTGCGTGTGAGGCGCACCACTCGGAGCTATAAGCCACCGGCCGCCTTCTTCTGGGACTACGAGCTTACGAAGGCGAACATATACAGTTACTTGATGTTCGTCATTTTTTGGCTGCCATTCGGCCTGGCGGTCTGCGTGAATTCCTTCAGCCGGATCAGCCCGCGCGTGCTCTTCAACTCGGCCTGGTTCGCTCTGTCCAAGTCCTGTTTCAACAATCTACTCTACTGCGTGGCAGACCGGCACTTTCGCAGTGCTTACGTGAAGCTCTTCCACTATTGCTGCTGCAAGACTACGGTAACCTTCTCGAGGAGGCCGCGCGGTGGCGATGGCGGCAGAAATGCGAGCGACGTGCGACTCAGAGTGCATATCATTCACTCGTACGCAAGTCCATCATCCTGTCGTCCGACTGTGGCCAGACCTAACGGACGTGACGTTTATGAGCTTTAAAGGTAACGTCACGCGTAGACTGCTTAAAACAAAAGGATGCCGATAAACATGTCCGTTTTTTTTGTGAGACCGAGCGATTATTATGTCGATGCGCGAACGACGTCACGTCGGGATAGGTATGGCCTTATTAAAAGCATTCATTCATTTGTCTCCTTTGATTCATACGGCTCGTTCTCCGATTGAGTTATTCTTACGTTAGGGTTTCTTATGTGAGGTTTTTGTAAAGATACCAGGAACAAGTTCTTTTAGGCAGAATCAGTTTCAGTATATAGAAAGTGTCGACAGTGCTTTATTTTGGTAACAAATATGCATTGCCTGTTTTTTGGTCAATCTAAAATTTTTCTGTAGATTTGATGTATTATTTGTCATAAAATTGCTATTTAGTATTATTACATAATAATTTTTAAGATATCGTTTTTCTATCAAACGCAGTAAAGACCTAAAAAACATGGGCACTAATGATATATGTGACATAATTGTCATAATATTTAGGCATTTAATTATCCGCGCAGAGGATTTCAGGATCATAGAGCTTAAGGAATAGATAATTGAAATCCGAAAATGTGTGCCCGATGTTTCGATGCTGATACGAATAGTTGCCGTCCAGTGGAAATGTTCTCTAAACGATAACTGAATTTGTACGTCATGCTTCTATCAGAGTTCGATGTCATCTGCGAACTAAAGCAAGACATGTCCTTCGACTGCTTAGAATCGAAACTTCAACCACGAGAGAGTGTCGAAAATACTGAATGATCGATTTATATATACTTATACACTGACAACGGGACAGCATTTTCGCTCCGAGTAAAATTTTTAGACACGGATATTCGACTATAAAATTCAGCAGGTTCCTGGTATTATTAGACGTTGCAATTTTTTTTTAGACGGTGCATTTTCTCGTTTATCGCGGAACGTCCATTTTCGGCAGAGAAGTGGGAAAGGCTGTTTTCGCGAGATCCCATCTTGTAACAAGAGGGGGACGAGTGTCTCACTCGCGACAGCATTTTATCTGGCTGCAAGACGAGACGTGAAACGCGGACGAGAGAGAAAATAAGGTTTTCCCAATCTCGATTAAATTTCTCGACGGGGCTTACCGGCATTCCGGGAGGGAAGGAGGCCGGCCGCGAAGTTATACGCGCGCGCTGGAGGGGAGTAATTTACGCTGGCGCGCTATAAGTTCGCTATGTGTGAGATTTAAGCTCAACGAACACACGCTAGTAACGTCGCGAGCACCACATCCCGAATTATGGCGGCTCCGCCGCAGTAAGTCGGCCGGTAGATGAAAATGCCGTAACGTTTAAGGAGGTACTTGGCGGCGCTCATCATCCCCCAAAGTTAATAACATTCCGGTAACGAGGTGAAGTCAGGTGGATCAGATAAGGGCGATTCGATGATAAAGATGGCAATAATATCAGTTAAAACTTTTAGTACTTCGCTCGTCTATCGGTCTCGACGTTCGGCAATTTAGTGAGATCCTTTAAAAAGGTAGGAAAAAAAAGAGTCTCTCCAGCCATTTATTATGTAAATCGAGAAGGATCTTGCGGTTATAAGGTTCCTTCGACGGCGATCAAATAAGGATCAAAAGCGCCAGCCAAGTATCGTAATATATTGCTTCATTGGTGAAAGAATACGTAAATCTTAAGTGTTGAAGTATGAATTCGTGATAACGTGAAATAAATTGACTGAACATGAAATTTTATCGTGTGCAGGCGAAACAAATCGATTCGCATGCCATAATACTTACGTAAACTCTTGCATAATCCGCCCTTAAAATTCACTGTCTAACAAACGCGTCCGCTTGTCTCGTATCCGTAATCAAATCGACTCGCTGTTGTAAAACTGAAAGTCCGCCATACCGATCTTACTTCATTTTAAATCTACATATCGCACAAAACGTGATTCTTAATAATTATATACTTTGTAACATACTTTGTTGTAACATACTTTGTAACCCTTAACATATCTGGTTGCGAATAATTGCTCTTATCCGCCAAAGTATCCGCTGAATCCTGAAAAAAATAAAGACAGGTATACACGGTACTCATTACTGCCCCTGATCTCGGCACGTAGATAACCAACAGGCGTTCACGCGTACCCGGATTTAACGAAAAATGTGAGAAAGCTTATGTCCGATAGTATCATATCGACGCGAAAAACGCGAACGATTTACGGCACACGATGCGGGATTAACGCGAGAACACTCTTCGTGTGTATTTTTGCGCAACCCGATCGTCCCGAGGCTCTCGCGTACTTCGTGTAATCGGTCGGTGAATATTGTCGTACCAATTATTCTGGAAAACGACGCCATTCTTCAACCCGGCTGGGTAATTCGTTACGTACCGCGCGGCGACGCGTTCGCTTTGGTGTGTCGCGCTTCCTCGGGACAGACACTGCTTCAGGGATCGCGATTTATTTAGTAGCGTTTCATTCGAGGACACTCACCCGCTCGCTCGCGAGTGACACCGGTATTCGCTCTACGCGAGAATGCGCTTGCTCCGTCCATATACGCCGCACAGCTGCGATCGCGATTCAAGATTTGCGCCTGACGATATTTCTTGGGAAAGAGCTTCCTCTAGCAATACGTTCCAGCGTTCTTAAATGACGTGTCAACTCATATCCTGGGTTTTGCATTTGAATATTCGAATATGTATTCACGTATGCAAAATTTTATTGTAGAATTGACAATTGTTTTTAATAGAAAATTTCTGTCAAATATACTATTTTTTAATCAATATAATTTCTGCTTTCCGTAAAATCTAGTAAATATGAGTTACGATAGTTGCTTTATAATATAAAATTATTTTTGATTTCTCGAAACAATTAAATTTGTCACGTGTTACGATTCCATGTTTTATTCCATGTAATTCCAGGTTTTTTTGCAACTTATTCAACGCAAAAGCTTCTGCTATTAAAATTATATAAGAAATTAGCAATAATTTTTAATGAAATTTGTGGAATTGAAAAAGTTAATTGTTTTAAGTCTATATTAAATATTTCGCACAACGCATTCCACGATCGCGGCTTCGATTGTTAATCGTATATTCGAGCACATATCTATCATGCTTTATATCTATACATTTTTTCCGTTTGTATATATGTACGTTAATAATTAACTATAAGATGCGTCATTGCGTGTATTTGTGTAAAATGGAAGTGTATTAATATCGCTTTCCACTTATATTTCCATATCTTTTATTCGATACTCGAATTTGCGCAAGCCTACAAGCGTATATATATATATATATATATATATATATATATATATATATATAAATATATATATATCTTTCCTAATTACATATGATCCTCTTAAATACAGTTTAGAATATGTAATTGTACTGGAGAATATATAATCGACATATATAACTGATGGTCACATGGTTCGCGTATGTGTAAGGAAAAAATAGTCAAGTAATATATGTATCTAGAAAATCTAACGTGAGCATATATCGAATTGATCACACGCTGTTACATGATTGATGCCTCGATCTAGACATGTAATGGAGCCATATATTTGTGACTGACAAACAATAACAATGATCGCATTATGACTATAAGCGTCAAATGTTTTTATTCGCATATCGGAGGAGAAGGTATAAAAATAGAAGAAGGTGCCTCGCGTGATGTGGAGCAATGTTATTTCGAAATTTATAGTCTTCGTGTGGACTTTAGGTTCAACAATATTTCTTTGAGAGAGAACATTTCTCCATTACGACTATTAGCTCTGTTCGGTGAGTTATACCTTCAATCAAATGTTTTTTTATCGTAAGTAAGTAATTTTTGTCGATTATTTTAGAAGAGTTGAATTTTTATTATGTATGTTTGAAGACAAATAGAGAAAATTAGTTGGAAAAATTATCATTAATCCGATGATATGCGATTAAAATAATAAATTTTGATATGTAACGATATCATAGTTTTTGAATTTATAATATTAATATGTACGATTTGAAGATGTTCAAATTAACTAGAAAATTTATATTGGATTTATCAAGAATTTTTGTTACCTTTTATTAAGAAAAAGTAACGTTTATATGCAGTTCTACCATAGTTATTTTGAGGAACGAGGCAAAAGAGAGTTAAGACAAAATTGCTAAATAAGAACCTAAAATTTTAGTATATTAGTATAGTTTTATATGTGTGACACCCGCGGCGATGTCATAGGTACAAAAAAATTTATTTGTTTTTAGCGCAGACGATATTATTTTTAAATCAATAATTTGACGTCAAGCGTAAAATATCTTTTTTATACGCAAATTTCAAATAAAAAATATAATATGCAGCATTCTTATTTTTATGAACTGAATAGACTGCGTAATTATTGTATTTATTATAATTATTATATTCATTTTTTTCAGATATAATTTTTAAGAGAAGAGAAGTTATATTATAGTAAATAATTATATTCTGCAAAGAAGAAAAATGATTTTTTTTTTTAACAAATCAAAATGTAAAATTTATATCGACGAAATTTAATATTTCGTTTTTTCTCGCTTTGGCTTTATTATCTGCGTTTCGAGATTTATACTGATAACTACGCACATATGTATTTATTGTATATAACTCGTTTTACGACTATATTTATTAATTGATAATTATTGCAACGGCGTATCTCTCGTGACTGTATCTATAATGTCGTATTTTACGCGCCTTCTGTCAATCTGTGATCACACTTTTAGGTATGATTGTTCGAGTGGTGTAAGCAACATATTGTCAAATTTTGCACATATTATCCGGTTTACCTGAGTTAATTCGATTACTCGCGATAGTGTCTTCCCGCGATATGTCTTCATAAACGAAATTAAATGTAGAAAGCGTCTTGTCAGACGCGATGAAAACAATTTGATATTCTAAGTAACGATAATCGTCTTACAAAGTGCTAAGTTTGACTACCGATTCGCGGACGTTGTGTGCAAAATTTGAAATTGAAATTTAAGCGTCTTTCACGACGAGAACTTTGATAAAACATCCGGCGAGAGTGGCCGCGCGTTGATCAAATATGCGGGAGGAGAAACATTCGGCAC